CCATCCAAAGGGGAAAAAAAATTATTTGTACCACCTCAACTCGGATTGTGTACAATTTGTGTATTAGGAATATAAGACGTGCCGCCTGTGTGGGATTTATTTATGTGAATTCAATCCAATCTTTAGAAAAATAAAAAGGAATACCAATAACTGTAAGTCAAAACTCTCCTAATTACTCCTTGAAGGGTAGGTGAAAATTTATCATGCATGTTTAGCAGCCACACTTGACCAATCGAAAATATTAGGTGACTTGATAACGAAAGGCTGAATATGATACCCACACCATGATTTATATGGCAGCAGCCACTCTAATTATTTTTTTTTGCCACTCTATTAATAGTCAATAAATTTCAAATGAGCTAGCGGCACAATTTCAAATCAGCCAAGGTAAGCGAATCTGCGTTGGATTGTAGAGATATTTCAAATCAGCCTAGCATTATTACCCATATATAAAATACAAATTTATAAATAAACACAATATAAAATTCCTTCCTTTGTCTTTGTGGTTAAATGAAAACAATGATGAGAGAACGAATTCGCACTAAATCTCATCATAACCAAAATATCAGATGTAGAATATTACAATTTACAGTAAATAAATTTGTTCTCTGTGTCCTGATAAACAGTAGTGGTTCTACATCGAATGGAGAACCTGTAGATAATTGCTGCTCCTAGTGCTACTATTGGTATTAGGAGTTTTTAGTATGTTGAGATTAAAAAAAAAAAGGAGCACAGTAAAATTATGACCCTTAAAAAAAAGGGAGTTTCACTAAAACACCCAAAATGGGAGTTGAAATTATAAAAAAACCCAAATACTATTTAAACATAGAAACACACCCAAAACCCATCATTACACACACTCAAAATCCATTTATAAACACACCCAAAAGTTGACTTTGGGGTTGATTTTGGGTGTGTTTCTATATTTAAATAGTGTTTGGGTTTTTTTATAAATACATGCTTAGCATTGGGTTTTTTTTATATAAATTTGTATAAAAGTAATAATGATAATATAGGTCAGTATTTATTCCTAAGGTGGTGGGATATACTGTGTTTTAAAATTGTGGGATTTCAGACTAAGAGCATTCATTTTTTTAAAGGGGATAATTGGCCTAAAAATTAGGCTAAATTTTATCAGCACTTTCAAATTTCAAAGTGTGGCTTGCTTCATCTGTCTCATCTTGTTTTGTCTATGTAAAGGTGACAGCAACAAAATAAAGGGGAGAAAAAAGAAAAAAGGAAAGAGGAGGTTGCGACAGAGTTTTTACAGGAAGAGAGGAAAATACAAGCGGCTGGTTTTCTTTGTTGAAAAGAAAGCACAGAGGCTTAGACAAAGCAAAATAATGGTGGCCAGCAAAGAAGAAAAGAAAAGACGCCAGCCAAAAGAAAAATGAGTAAAAAAATATTTAAAAAAAGGATTGCCTCTTCGTAGCTTGCGGTAGCCTATTTGTTTGTTTTCTCTTTTGCTTGCGAGAGCTCTGTACCAATTGTGACTTTTTGTGTAGTCTTTTAAAGGCTTAAGAGATACATGGTGATTGCTCTCAATTTGGATCGGTCACAAGTATTCCAGATAAATAGGGGAATGCAAGGTTTGGCTTTACTTGGAAATAAACTCTACTGGATACCAAAGCTTTTGTGATGTGGACACCTTGCTCATGGCCTAACTTATAACAAATATCAAAGACCTGAAAGAGATTCATGAGTTGTCAAAAATAATTGCCCATTAATTCTCAAAAGTCCATAATGTTTAGTGGATGGTGCAAATAAACACTCATTGAATTTACAAAGGAACAGATTACCTATTATATGATTAATAGATCAATTTTAAAATCCTCGAAGTCATATTTGGGTCCAAATGCAAATGTCAATTGTAGAAAATTAATGGGTTCATCAAAATTGCTCATTATTTTTCTTGGACATTGACAATAAGAAAATTGTACAAAACCATCCAATTTTTCCCATGAGTCATCTACCTATGAAAATCTTAAAATCTCCAAATTATCTTAAAGACACAAATTCTAAATTAGTGGGCCACACTTACCCATTAATTTTCAATTTTTTGAACTACGTTTGTTTGATCCTATCAAGGGTACGTAGGTAGTCTACCATCCCAATAGACGCAACTGAAACCAAATTTGAATCCCTAGTTTATCCAAACCAAATTCTGCCAAACACTTTTCCAAACTTCCGAACTATATTGGTTTGATCCCTTCAAAAGGGTACTTAGGCAATCTAGAGACTCAATCTAGATGCAACACCCCAAATCTTAAATCCAAACAGAATCCCTAGTTTATTCTTAACCAAATTCGTCCCAAACACAATTCCATATTGAATCTCTGGTTGATGCAGCTAAATTCACTCAAACACTCCTCAATACAATTCAAATCAAATTTTCATTGCAATGAGTCATTTATTCATTTTAATTCTTTGAACTGCGAGTGGCTTGATTCCCACAAAGGATATATAGGCACCTTGAGGTTCGACTTAGGAGCAGCCGCAAAACCAAACATACACGTTCTGTTTCTTTATGATGGAATAAAATGAGGTGTTCCCTTGAAGCAAAGAATTGTAATTAAGAGGCACCGAGCCTCGAATGGGTCTAACTTAAAACAATAAATGTCATATCCCGGGATCGGCAACACCGTAGCACGATATTGTTCGCTTTGGCCCCTCTCTCTGCCCTCACAGTTTTGTTTATGGGAGCTCACGAGCAACTTTCCAGTGGGTCACCCATCCTGGGATTGCTCTAGCCCCAACTCGCTTAACTTCAGAGTTTCCATGACTCCGAAGCTAGTGAGCTCCCAAAAGGCCTTGTGCTAGATGGATGCGAGAATGTACATATAAGGCACATCACCCCCTCTCTGTTGGTAGATGTGGGATGTTACAATCCACCCCCCTCCCCTCAGGAGCCCGACATCCTTGTTGGCACACTCACACCACACGGCAGAGTGGCTCTGATACCAAATTGTCACATCCCAGGATTGGCTCAGCCGTAGCACGATATTGTCCGCTTTGAGCCCCCCTTTCTGCCCTCACGGTTTTATTTTGGGAGCTCACGAGCAACTTCCCAGTGGGTCACCCATTCTGGGATTACTCTAGCCCCAACTCGTTTAACTTCGGAGTTCCCATGACTCCGAAGCTAGTGAGCTCCCAAAATGCCTCGTGCTAGATGGAGGTGGGTATGTACATATAAGACACATCACCCCCTTTTCGTTGGTCGATGTGGGATGTTACAATGTAGCACGATATTGTCCGCTTTGGGCCCCCCCTCTCTGCCCTCACGGTTTTGATTCTGGGAACTCAAGAGCAACTTCCCAGTGGGTCACCCATCATGGGATTGCTCTAGCCCCAACTCGCTTAACTTCGGAGTTTCCATAACTCCGAAGCCAGTGAGCTCCCAAAAGGCCTCGTGCAAGATGAAGGCGGTCATGTACATATAAGGCACATCACCCCCTCTCCGTTGGTCGATATGAGATGTTACAATCCACCATTCTTAGGAGCTCGACGTCCTTGTCGGCACACTCGTACCACACACGACAAAGTGGCTCTGATATCAAATTGTCATATCCTTGGATCGGCTCCGCCGTAGCACGATATTGTCCGCTTTGGGCCCCCCTATCTGCCTTCACGGTTTTGGTTCTGGAAATTCACGAGCAACTTCCCAATGGGTCACCCATCATGGGATTGCTCTAGCCCCAACTCGCTTAACTTCGGAGTTCCCATGACTCCGAAGCCAGTGAGCTCCCAAAAGGCCTCGTGCAAGATGGAGGCGGGCATGTACATATAAGACACATCACCCCCTCTCCATTGGTCGATGTGGGATGTTACAATAAAACTTCATTATTTAAATAGTGGTGGTGAAATTATGTTGGGAGGTTCACATTTTTTTTCTTCAGCATAATTTTTGGCACGCCCGGTGGGATCCATTTTCCTTTTCATCTCCAATCATAAGGTGACTAATGTTTTTATTAATTTGTTTTGCCATAGGTTAACAAAACTCGATAAAAGATGGCACCACAAGTTACAATTTTCTTCCACAAGATCAAAACTACTAGGAATGCGTGCACCAAATGAGTAGGCTTCAGAAAAAATTCATTGTTGGTGAGAGCCTCGTCAACTGTATTGTTCCAAAGCCCATTCAAAGGGCTAGGCCTCAAGTCATTTTCTTCTGTGTAGTTAGCTTGATAACTTTTCTTGAATCGACATTCTTTTTCTATATGCCCAAATTTTTTGCAATACCAACATTTTAGCCTGTCACGGTACCAACAATCTTTTTCTTGGTGGCTTGTTCTTTTGCACACCGACACGAAGGATAGTTTCTCTCCTCAATATCTCTTTTATTTTCCCAATTATTGTTGGGCTCATCATCACTTTTTTTAGAATTTTCTTTCATCATCTTTAGACTTATGAGACCTTAAATTTACTTTGATAAAGATTGGAAATGGGATAGAAATTTGGCTAGCGGTAAAACATGATGGAGGACTATATTGAACCCTTATGCCCAAGGTGACCGAACTTTGCTTTGATATCACTGTTGAGTTTTTAGAAGAATAGTAGAGTGATTTTATTTGTTCAACAATAGGTTGGATATAAGGCTTAGCTATTTGGCCTGTTGGTTGTAGCCATTGGCTAGATAGGCTTTTGGCCTTTATCACTAGCTTAATTACATAAGTGGGCACTGGGCAGCATGCGTATTTATAGAGTTGGTTAACCGACTATCTAAGTCGGCAAATAACTAGTCATCAAGTCGGTTGTGCACAGTAACCGACCTTCTACAGTGTTTTCAGCCACTAGTTGTCATATAATTCTAGAATTATCTAGTTACAATTACATTACATAATTATTAGAATGGTTCTAGGTAAGAGTCAACAAACTTTAACTTAGTAATTTTCTAAATTATTCTAGAAAATCTGCTGGCTTCATTTCTCCACCAAATGTACATTATTTTTCAACAAATAAGGTGATGGTCTAAAGGATTCCCAGTCCAAAAACATAGAAAATTACAAGAAATATTTGGAAGACAGTAGTGGTTCGTCATCCAATGAAGAACCTACATCACCATTGATACAAGATGACCCTTTTGATGCAGAAACAATGTCTCCATGCTCGGTTATTTCACATCGAACATATTCAACATTTGCAAAAGTTTGTTGCATTTCAGAAGCTTTAACTGACTGTTGAATTCCCTCCAACTCGACCGCTACTTGTTTCATAGTAGGTCGTTTCTTCCCCTTTAAATTTAAGCATCTTTTTGCAAGGTTAGCAACTGCCACAATCTCGTCCTTTCCACCATCCTTCATAACTTGAGCATCGAGAATATCAAACAGACGATTCTCCTCCATGGAAAGAAGGAAATAAGCTGCTAGGCTTCTCCATTCTTGTGAACTCGTCAAAGAAACTGGTTTTTCTCCGGTCAAGAGCTCAGATAGGGTCACTCCAAAGCTATAGACATTGCTCTTGTCTGTAAACTTACTAGATTGGAAGAATTCAGGGTCCAAATAACCAAATGTTCCTTGTACTTTGGTGGTAACATGTGTTTTGTCAATGGACATAGATCTTGAAGTCCCAAAGTTTGCTACTTTGGCTGTATCTTTTTCATCCAAGAGGACGTTAGAAGACTTGATGTCTCCATGGAAAATGGGAGATGAAGCTGCTGAGTGTAAGTATGAAAGAGCTCCTGCAACTTGGATGGCAATTCGTAAGCGCATTTCCCATGTAAAACTCCTTATTTTGGTGATGAATAAACTCAAAAAGTGTTCCATTGAGTATGAATTCATAAACCAAAAGGGGAACTTCAGTCTCTAAACAACACCCCAATAGTTTAACCACATTCCTGTGTGAAATTTGTGAAAGAAAAATTAAAAGAAAAATAAGATAATGGATCCTATTTTTATGGAACACAACTACCCATTATCTTTTTTAATTCTAAAATAATTTTTTTTTAATTTTAAAAAAACCTCTCGTAGGCGCGGAAGCGCGTGCAGAGATGCTAGTATGAATAGTGGTGAAGAAATCAGTTAAAAACTAAACCCCAGTTTTGCAAAAGAAGCCAAAAAATCAATTCAATAATTTGTTCATGACTTTTGAAGTTTGGATAATAACAGCTATAGGTTTACCTTGACATCCATCAAGAAGATAGGGGTTTCCTTGGAAGCCCTTTGAGCAGAAACAATGACTGCTGCAATTCGTGCTTTTATCATCGGTCCAATTATTTGTTCCATATATCTCGAAATTCGTATGATCAAGCAAGGACCATTCCAGCACTATAGGGACAGAATCCATTTCACTAATGGCAGAAATGTTTGTTGAATTTGATGTAAACCAATCATGGTCCACTAGGAATGCAAACTTGCATGCCATTTGACTGTCAGCATTTAAAACTGCTCCAAAACTAGTATTGAAGGCACTGAGATGCAAGGGAATGGTGGTCTGGCAGCACTTCATCCCACTGCAACTATTCGTTCGGAGGACGCTTGTGTTAGTATGATCGCATATGGACAAGCAGCCACCAATTGTTGACCCATATAACTTGAGGATGTCATCAATGCAATTCCACCGCAACTTATTGAAGAGAATCTGTTTTTCTGGGAAAGCACAAACGGGCTTCCTTCCAAGTTGGGTGCCTGGCGGCCTAAGGGCTTGTTACTGCAATTGGAGAAGGTAATGGGACTTGTCACCTTTAGTGTGCCTTCAACGGAAATTTCTAGCACCTCCAGACCGGTAACGTTCAAGAAAGCTTTTGGAGGGGTGGCTGTGTGATCACAGATTATTTGGAATCAGTGGTCAAGGTAACATCCTGCTCTGATTCCAAAAGGATATGGGATTTCAGTGAGTGCTCCACAATGCGATGACCAATTAAGCTTAGCTAAGGCTGCCTCTGATGCCGCTGCAGAGCATATGAACAGAGTAATATGAAGTAGAAACCGGACAATGTCCATTATTCTGCTTCTTCTTCCTCCTCTCGTTAGTTACTTATCTTATCATGTCTCGTACAGAGCTTGGAGTATTTAGTTATCAAATTAAATGATCAACTTAGCCTCAATCTTCTTGAGGATAAAACTAAAAACAATATATGGAAGGAGCAGAGACATATAGTTCTTGTACCGTCATGCAGCTGATGGGGAGGAATAACTGCTTCATCGACGAGTTTTATAAGTCAAGTCCGCTCAACACAAAAAAATTTCAACTAGGAAACATTTCAGAACGTGCTTAATTGGGAGTCTTTGGAACTATTAAATTTAATGCACACTTGTCTTGAAGAGTTCAGAAAAATCTAGAAAAAAAGTAGAAAACTCAAGAAATGTCGACCAACTTTGACAAAGTCAAGCTTTAAGACATAATTGTTGTAGGCATTCTAAAGTCTTAATAAAATCTTGTGATAAGGTAATAATACTATTGTATTGTAAACTAGTGGTTATGAGAAGAAAGCCATGTCCACCGACTTGGACAATGGCGGCAGCCTGTATCTATAAATAGGTGTTGAGCCCTCTTTTTGTATAAGTGAACTAAGAGAGAGGAGGCCAATAAGCCAGAAAATAGGAAGGAGGCCAATAAGCCTAGTAAACATTTTCTAGTTGTAGAAGGCCAATAAGCCTAGTCCTCTATAAAGCCTAGAACTCATCTATTGTTGAATAAATAAAATCACTTTATTGTTCCAAATATATGAAAGCTGACGCTTTCTAATAGATGTCACGAAATTGTTTCTTTAGTTGACGTTTTTTTAAAAACGTCAAAGTTATACTTCATTAGCTGACGTTTTTTTATTATAAAATGTCAAGAAAACAGTTATATAGTTGACGTTTTTTAAAAAACGTCAAAATTTAGTAGAATAGTTGATGGTTTTTTCAAGAAACGTCAACTATGAAGTGTCAACTAAGGCATGTTTTCTTGTAGTGGTATATTCTAGATTGTTATAGTTTTACTTGTGCAATATTATTTCTATGAGCTGGGCTTTTACTTTTCTTGGGCTTCTTCATATGTTTGTGGGCTGGGGTTGATATTTTAACAGCACCACCAGAACGAATTTCGAACTCTTGATCCAACTAAAAATTTCAAACTCTAACACTTTCAAAATACCCAGTCGCTCTAATAAGTGTAGCTAATTAGCCAGACATCACCTATGACCTTCTGGATTGGAGTTGAAACTGCACTCACATTCTGACCGGAGAAGTTCAGAAAAGGAGCAACACATAACATTTATGGAACATGCATTACAATATTACAATTAAGAAATATTTAATTATTGTTCACCCTCCTTCTCATGTGTAGGTCAGCCAGTGTTCACCATGACTTGAAAGGTAATAGCGGAATTTCATGTAATGATGAAGAAGGACCACAATCCAAACCTGACCCTGTTCCTGTTGAGCTTGAAACAATATCCCAAGTCTCAATTGATTCAGTTCCAACATATTCAACCTCTTCATAATTTTGTCCACCATTAGAAGTTTTATTTGACATTTGAATCCCCTCCAGCTCTGCCGTGACCTCTCTCATTGTAGGGCGGTTTCTTCCACTCAAATTCAAACATCTTCTTGCAAGGTTAGCAACTAATATGATATCTGCTTTAGACCCTCCTTTTACAACTTCAGCATCAAGAATTTCGAACAGGCGATTGCATCGAAGTAATGAAGTATGTGGCAAGACTTTTGCCTTCTTCTTGTGACCTTCTAAAAGAAATTGGTTTTTGCCCAGTCAAGAGCTCAACAAGGACAACTCCAAAGCTATACACGTCACTTTTCTCCGTAAATTGGCTTGATTGAAAGTATTCGGGGTCCAAGTAACCAAATGTGCCGTGTACAAGTGTGGTGAGGTGAGTTTGGTCAATGGCAACTGATCTTGAACATGGGCGGAACCAAGGCAAGGGCTACCCTTGGCTGTAGCCCAGGGAAGGTTTGGAAAAAAAAATTAAATATACATATAGCATAATATTTTAACTAAAAAAAAATAAATATATATATAGTTTCAACACCACTAAGCATAGTAAGAGGTCTTCCACATTTGTATTTGGGGTCAAAGTTTGTCCCAACATCAATTTTTAAATTTTTATATTAATTTGTCTCCAAAAGAGAAGCATTTTACTATAGAAAATGTAAGTACAAAAAAAAATTATCATTAGATTTTAAGCTAATAACTTTAGCTAGCCCACCCACTGAAAAATTTCTAGTTTTGCCCTTGATCTTGAAGTTCCGAAGTCAGCAAGTTTTGCTCTGTATTTTGCATCCAAGAGTATGTTGGTAGACTTGATGTCTCTGTGATAAATGGGAAAGGCAGCTGAAGCATGTAAGTACGAAAGAGCTCCTGCAATTTCCATGGCAATTCGTAAGCGAACTTCCCATGTAAGTGGGAACTCCTCATTCTGTTCATGGATATACTGGGAAAGGTTTCCATTAGGTATAAATTCATAAACCAAAATGGGAACCTCCGTCTCCAAACAACAACCCAATAGTTGAACGACATTTCTGTGGTTGATTTGTGAAAGAATGACAACCTCATTGATGAAATCTGAAAGTTGGCTTTCGTCCACTATTTTAGATTTTTTCACATCAACAATTCTTCCATCAGTCAGCATGCCTTTATAAACAGTACCTTGGCCTCCCTGGCCAAGAATTCTATCAGTATTGAAATTGTCAGTGGACTTCTCCAACTCCTTTGATTTGAATAGCTTGATTTTCTCAACATTAACTTCACCTGACGACAATTGTTTCTCTAACAACAATCCACCATTTCGCTTGAAGAACATCTCCTTGCGTTTCATGGTATGGCGTTTCTTAGGAATCTGTATCCCCACCATGCACCGACAAGCAAAAGTAACAGTCCAAGACCCGCACCAAGACCTGCAATATATAACTCAGTAAAATGATAAATGATCACAAATTGCAAACCAAGTTTGTGTCTTGTGCCCATAAAATAAACTGTTGATGGCAATATGCAAAAAAGTTTATGTCTAAAATTCCTCGACACTCGGGCAGAGTTTATGTTCAATAAATAATTAAGTCCAGAGACCTCTAATACAGTGAACAGTGAAGAATGACCAAACTAGCTCTAAACTGTTGATGGCAATATACAAAAATATAATTGTAATTTGTAAGTAGAATTTTCCCAAACCAAATGTTTGAGTTTAGGTTGTTACCGGTTGATGACCATATGTTTGACCATATATTTCACATTAAATGAAATAACAAATTAAGTGACCATTTGTTTGACCATATTTTTCTTTTCTTTTTAAAGAGAAATCAACTCTGTTTAATTCCAAAATCGTATGCTATGTGCGATGATATATGCATGCATGGCTTACCTATAATAAGGATAAATTTAGTATTCTTTTTGCGTTGGATAAATTCAGTGTTCTTTTTGTCAGCGCAAACGTAATGACCAGGAACACTTGCTGTGGGGCCCGCATCGATGACCATTCATGCATTCATCAATATCTGAAATGTAATTTAGAAAGAGGAAAAAAAAACAGAAACGGTAAATTAGCAAATACAATAATACTATTGCAGATCACCCTCTCTAATAGGGTTTGAACCCCAATAATACCTCAAAAGGTTAAGAAAACAAACAAAACAAACGCAAAGAAAAATAAAACGCAGAGACGGAAGCTAGATATAGTTAATTACATACGTACCTTGACAAGTTTGAAGAAGATAGGGATTTCCTACAAAGCCTTGTCGGCAAAAACAATAAAGCGCTGAGCGATTGTTGGAATCAAAAGTGTAGATATTGCAGAAGGGTACAGCGTCAAATAAACTAGTAAAAAATTAATTAAAATTCTCTGTAACGTGTCTTCCAAATAATGCGAATGAAAAAGTAGAGTTGATTATATTCCATTCTAGCACCACAGGAACGTGGCTTCTACTCTTGACTGCATGAGGAGAAGATTTCTCAAACCAATCCTTGTCAACCAGAAACGCATAGTCGTCGCAATCCGTGTTTCGAGTTTCGCCTTTGTATAGAATGGAAGCTCTCATCATAGTGAGATATGGAGGAATGGTAGTCTGGCAACAGTTGATACCAATATCACAGGAAGCATAGTTTTGATTATCACAAACTGACCTGCAGCCACCAACCACAAACTCAGCTGATTCCATCGTGGCAAGGAAGCCGCAACTAACCGCAGTGAATCTGTTTTTGTCCTGAGAGTAGACGAAAGGGCTGCCCGTCAAATTAGCCATTTTGCTACTTCCATTTCCGTTGCAAAAGAAGGTAACGGGGCTGTTCACTTGAAGCGTGCCTACCGTAGCCTCAAACGTGCCTCCAATAGAAATATTCAGCACCTCCAGTTGGGCTCGCTTCAAAAACGGCTTAGAAGACTGGTTGCTGCACTCGATTTCAAACCAGTCGTCTAAGTAGCAATCTGTGCGTTCCAATTCCAAAAGGGTAGGGGATCAAGACGCCTCCGCATTTCTCTTTGCAGTCCGGCTTCGCTTTCGGATAATAAACTTCTGGTGCTGCAGCTGCTGCACATGTATATATGATCAACAACACGAGGAATATTAATAATAAAATCATCATATGAAGTGCTTGCGATTGCATTGTTCCTATGCTCGGATGAAAGATTATCAAGCAAAAGTTTTCTTTGCAACTCAGTGCTTTGTACTATATATAATAAAGACAACTTGTCGACCGAAGAAAAGTGGGTTCGAATTGAAGGCTACTTTCCTTTTTGTAATGTGAGTGGAAATTGTAGGGTTCAGGGTTCAGGAAATGCAGTACATAAAAAAAAAACCCAAAAACAAAAAAGTTGACTGACTTGACTCACAAAGGAAATGCAGTACATAGTAAATTATTGTGGCCATTAAGAAATTAAAAATGAAAATTATTCTTTAATTTTTTTTTCCTTATTTTGTCGTTTTCAAGTAGATAAAAATGTTGTGAAATCAAATCAATGATTGCATATATAGCTGCCCTCAAGTCAATGATTACTAATCATAGATCTCAGCAAACGTAACATTAATTAACTAAACAATATTATTTTGAAAAAATCATGCAACCCTCCACTTGAAGAAACAGAGTTTTAATTAACTAAACAAAATATTTGGTTTTATTTTCACTGTATAACGTCTAATGATTTTCTCGAGTGATCTAGTCATAATTAATTTTTATATACCCCTTGATTTGTGTTTAAATGGCAATCATTCAATTTAGCTATGATCTTCTTGGTTGAAACTGCAGTCGCATTTTGACCGGAAAAGTTGACTTGAGAAGGAGAAAAACATAACATATATGGAACATGCATTACAATATTACAATTAAGAAATATTTCATTATTGTTCAGCGTGACATGGAAGGTAATAGTGGAACTTCATTTGAAGTTTTTTCAAACACCTCCAGCTCTGCAGGTGACCTCTCTCATTGTAGGACGCTTCATTCAACTCAAATTCAAACACCTCCTTGCTAGGTTAGCAACTGTGATGATATCTGCTTTAGACCATGTGGGAACATAAGGTTTGGCATCCAATCACAAGGTGTAATGTACTAACGTGGATAGTGGAATATTCCTTAGGTCAAATAATTGAGCCATAATTAATTAGCCAATTATTCTTGATTTACGATAGGAATATCTCCTCCCGATTTCCAACAAATCTCCTTTATATTATCTTATCATTTAAGGAAAATAATAATTCTATTCCATATATTTATAGAGGGAGCTTCCGTTGAGAGTTCCCTCAAATATGCTAATTTGAGGAACACTCTGTTGAGGCCCAAAAATCTAGGGTTGGGCCCAAATAAATTCTCGACTCAACGCAATGCCTTATTAAGAAAAAGACACGATTTGGAGCATGCAGAATTTGTCATGCCCGCTTTCACGAGCCACAACCACGTGCCATGCCAAATAAATATTCAATTTATCACACTAAGAATTAAAATGAGCCTATAAAAGGCATTGGCTCGTCAAGCTCATGCTAATTATTTCATCAAGCATTATGTCTCTTTTTAAAGACTATAAAATTCAAGCACACCAATTGACATGCCATGCCAAGCAGGAAATCATTATTTCACACATAGCCACGCTACAAGCTTAAGTGGGCCTAAGCCACGCAAATGCCCGGGACTTGCTTGAGTCGGTTGTGGTATGGATGGTAACGAGCTTTCATGGGGCCCATTGATGAGCCAAGAAATGGAAGTTTTGGGCTGCTTGGGAGCCCCAAAACTCAAGTCCATTTCTTGAGCCCAAACACATGGGTTAGCATGAGAGAGGGGAGAAAATGATCAAATGCCTTAGGAGGATATCTAATAGCCTGCCACAGCACTTAGACAAAGCCAGTATCAATAGAATGCCTAAAATCAACAAAGCCTTTTTCAGTAGTTTGACGAAAACCCATCGCACGCTGGAAATAATAGGCCAACGACCCAATATTGCACACAAACCCAGCCTAGCGACTTGTAGAAAAACTGGCGCCGTGTTCCATCCTTGTTAAGACTCCAAGATGGTCAAATAGGAAGCCATGACAGAGACTAACAAAAATCCATGAGTGTAGGAAGAAGACCCAGCGGACAAAAGCTTCACCAATCTCATTTTCCGTTGCAAGCTCTGTTTTGAAAACCAAGGAGAAAAAAAGGAGGCGCTCCACCCCTATGGAGAAAAACCAACTGTGTCAAAACCTTGGAACCACAAAGAACTCCTTACCTATGCGCCTTGGATAAGAGAATTTCACCAAATAGGATTGAGTGGAAAGAAGCAACGAAAAAGGGAGGAAAATGTTAGATGAAATTAGGGTTCTTCAAGCCTATAAAAGAGAGCTTCTTCTGCCTAGAAAATGATCATCCAGAGCCTGACCAAGCTTTGTCAAGCGGCTGGGAATTTACTGAAGCCACCCAATCTTCTTCCTCATTTGTTTTCTCCTTTCTCTAAGAAAGAAATCTCCCAAATCTTCCTCTATTCCATTTTAACCCTTTGTTCTCTATAAGAAACTCACGCATCTCTCTCTCTCTCTCTCTCTCCTCTCTCTCTCTCTCTGTGTTTATGCTAAACTCATGATTGTTTTTCTCCCATGCCACAAGCTTCTCATGCTAAGCCATTATTCAATCTATCATGTTTATTTGGCTATTGGTGAAAAGAACCTGAGGGTGTTTTTCTAAGGTTTCATCAAACCTTTCAAAAACTCTTTTAGGAGCTTAGTTTCTGAACTCAAATACTTAGGGAATTTATGTTTGTTTTCTTCTTACAGAAACCTAAGCCTATTCGTCAGGCTGCTGGAACAAAAAGACCCCCACATAAATTGGCGACTCTACTGGGGACCAGGCTGCCATTTTCACTAATACCTCCAAAAAAGAAGACCAGAAGCAATACCATGTCTTCACAAGACGGATCCGACTATGGTGACTCCGAATCAAGGCAAAATACCTCTCATAGAGAGGAATAACATGCAAGTGAAGAAGCTTTCACCCTCACAGACTTCGTTGCAGCCATCCATGTTATAGGGGAAACCCAAAGGGAGATGGTAGACACAATTAAAGATCTAAAAGCTCAGTCTCCAAGCCAAGCAAAAAAAAATAAAATGAAAAACCTCCCCAAGAGGAGTTTGCTGTTGCTGGACAAGGGGTTTGAACAAAAGGGACCATCTTTTGTTACCCAGGAGGATGTCGTTGCCATACTGGAAAAAGAGCTTAGCCGGAGCCAAGAGGATTGGAAGTATATTCCTCAGCCACCATATCCATCCAACTTACTTTAGCAGCCCTATCATAAAGGTTACAAGGCACCAAGCTTTGTCCTTTTCGATGGGAGGAAAGGAAGCCCGAAGGAGCATGTCAACCGTTTCCTTGATGCTTTGGGACCACATGTTGGTGATTATAGTGTCCGACTTAGGGAATTTTCAAAGAGCCTTACCGATCGTGCTTACACATGGTATATGACGTTGGCACCAGACTCTATCCGCTCTTGAGAAGATTTGGCAAGTAGGTTTTGTAAGAAGTATTTCTAGTATGAAGAAAGAGTCACCACCACTCAACTCAACAACACTCGTCAAAAACATGGTGAGGATCCCGTGGACTTTGTGCGCAAGTTCCAAGACCTGGCGTTGGATTGCTACGATGAGAAAGACGAAGAGGCGCTTGTCGAAATTTGCATCAGTAATATCATGGTAGATTACAGAGTTTATTTGGAGAATATTGGCATTAGCCAATTTTCTCGGCTGCTAGAAGCAGTGAGGAAAACAAGCATTTCAGTTAAACTAAATGGGTAGGAAGCTTGGAAGAGTGAAGAGGAAGAATGCCACTCGGGGGCTTCATTTGATCAGCAATATTATCGAGAGACAGCTGCTGTAACCTCTCATAAGAGCGGCAAATCACTCTTTGATTAGTTGGGTTATGAGCCGCATGCAAGTAAATCAGTAGTTGTGGCTCTGTTAAATATCACTATAGAGCATGGCAGCCTAGTACGACACATGCCAAATACATGTCAACCCAAGCCTCAAACTTTCATGCTATTGCAAGTCATGCACACTCCTTGGCCCTTTCATACTTTGGGGCTTGATTTTATTGGAGTATTCATCAATGCAAGGTGGCTCAAAGTCTTACTACTGCTGAGTTGCTTTTGCACATATTCTTTTGTTTTTAGCTTTTCAAATTTATTTCAAAGATAAACTCCTTTTATGTTTTCACCATATGCTTTCACGACTTTCGTAGAATGCACCACCATTATGGCATGCCAAGGTGTAAGATGATATTTGCAATGACAATGGAGTATTTTGGAAAAATGAAAAAGCCTTAAGAATTCTTTCCTTGCTTTTACCTTCTTCTGTTTTGCAAAACATGCTCTTTGAAAAAAAACAAAATTGACAACCAAACGTTTCTTTAAAAAGCTAAGCCTCTCAGTAGTAACTATACCAAGCAAAGCCACTTAGATGGGACCCCAAGCTATTAACAAGCACCATGCACAAGCAATATCATGTGTCAATCTTGAAAAGAAAAAAAGAAGGTCATGCTATCAAGGAAGATCATTCTAGTCCTGCAATATTTGAAGAGATGTGTTGGGGTGTTGTGAAAAAAAAAATCATATCACATAAGGAAGGCTTTGTGAAGGAAGAAACAGAAAAACAACGTTGAAGCGACGGGGCAAACACTTTTGTAACCCTGTAAAAAAAAATTTGGCAGCATGTACCTTGCACCTACCACAACCCCAATCTTTTAAAATCTCAAGCAACTCATGCATTTCATTATTTCCAACCAAGCG